TGAGAAGAGATAAATGATTACATAAAAAATATATCCAGTTGGCCCTCCCTCGTGGTACAACAGGTTAAAGGGCAGCACTGCAAGTGAGTGACAAGAGTTGGATCCCCTGCCCTGGAGCAGACCCACATGGCACAGCAGCGCTCTCCTGACCCGCCAACTGCTCCCCTCAGCAGTGTGCTTCCTGGGCTCTGACTCTGTCTCTGATGAATCCTCTCTCCGCCCCTACACCTCTGGCCTGCACCCAGTTCTGTATGCATAAATAAATAAATCTTTATAGAAAAAAAATGATTAAAATTTTTTAAATAAAAATGAAATATATATATATCCAATTGTAATAAATGAAATAGAGAAAAGCATATTGTGGGAAGAGAACAGATTAGAGGGAGTTATGATTTTTAAATAGATGGGTGAGTAGGGTGGGCCCAGCCTGAAAAGTATGAAGGAAAAGTGAAAATCAAACACTAAAACAAGGAGAGCTGGCGACTGGAGTAAGAAAATACCAATCCTCAAATCCTGTTCCAAACTTCTAGAACCTCAAATCTCTCAAGACTCTAGTCATATTTATTGCCTGCCTGTCGGGGAATGTGCTCGCCCTCTCCTGCAGCAGCATTCAGATCCTGCTCTCTGTTAGGAGGCCCTGGATGGCTTTACCCAGGTGTCCTGTGCCTGCACCTACTGCCTCTGTCTGCCCTACTCCATCCAGTGCTAAGTGCTCAGCCCCTAGAAAGTATTAGTACCCTTCTGTCATTATCATGGTTATTACTTATCCTGTCTAAAAAGAAATTGCTAAACTTTGGCAAGGCCCCTCGAGGGATGATTGTGTTTTAGGACTTTAGCAGTGGCCCTCTCCAACTTAGGATTGCCAGTAGAAAACTGAAAATTTCTATATAGTTGAAGAAAATCGAAGAACTGAAATTAGTCACTTTCTATTCTTAAAAGTTAATAAACTGAATGAGGAAGAGAAATTCTGAGATTTGGGGGCAGGGAGTATGGGGCAGAAAAAGAAGTGAAGAAGCAAAGGAGAATGAAGGGCACAATGAAGCCACAAGAAAACAGACACAAATTTAAAGGCGACAAATTCAACAGGCTCAAGTATCTATGAATGGAAGGGTAGCGGGATCATGGTCCCGTTAATATTTTCCTGTAGTGGTCTTTGTAGAATGATGAGATTTTTGCCTATTTAAGATTTTGTATGATGCCAAACTCCCCTTCCAAATTAAAAACTATTCTAATCATTAGAAAATATGCTTAAAAAGAACAAAACAAGTGAGAGTAGTTTCATTGGTTTTCACCTGGAAAATCACTTGAAACTGGCTGTGAATTTTTTTTTTTTTTAAAGTAACTACACAGGAAAGTGTTGAGCTGCCTCGAAAACCTCGCAGCGACCGCCGGATGCTCCAAAGTCAAGATCCTCTGCAGACAGGAAATGCCTTTGCCAGCTCCAACGTCTCCTCCCCGCAGCCCTCTCTATTGTCTGGAGAGATTTGTGTACATCCGACTGAGGAAATTTCCCGCCTACAACTGGGAATCAAAGGACTGCCTTAGAAGAAGAGCTTTCTAGCTTTTCTGGATAATCTTTGGTGCCCACTGGGTATTGATGCCTCTTCATTGAGCCGCCCACCTCTCTAGGAACTGAAAATGGGAATTTGTATTTCCCAAGGTCCCCCACCTGAAGGGGAGTTGTGAGGATTCAGGCAGGCCTCACTTCCAGGCCTGCTTTCATCTACCACTGTATCCGCTCCTGAGATGGGGTTTCCCCATAGCCACATCTGGAGGAATCGCTACTGTTTTGAAGTCCTTGTGCCTCAGATATTTTGGTGGCTAGCTCACTTGGATTCAACAGTGCCAAAAAAGAAAAAAGTATCGAGGAACAAAATTAAATTGAACAGAGTTGAGCGAATATTTCATGAAACTGAAACCCTAAAGAATGAAAAGTAGACTTAGTACAATATCTGATTACTTTTACTTTGAGATGTCACACTCCAAACTATTTAGAAGCATCCTGGGTGATTATGTGGTTTTCCACATTCTGGCCCATGTTTTCAATAGTCACATAGAGGTCCCCTCCAATCACAGATGTTATGAGACTAAGGAAAGATCAAAGGAGTGAGATTTTGAGTTCGAGTCATCTTCCTCAAGGTAATAGAACTGGAATGAGAATTTTGTGAGTTGTGGTCTGTTTCCAGCAAAATACATTTCCCTTAAGTCCAAATACACTTACTTAAATTCCTGCTCTGTGCTGATTAACTGGATGAATACACAAGGTAATAAAAACACCAAAAAATAAAGGGGGGGTTGTCAGAAATGCTGAAAGAGAATAGGTACTTTCACTATCAGAGATGGTTTCCTCTTTTCCCACAAGATGTCTTATCAGCTTTCACCCTGAGAAAACCATAAAAGTAAGAAAAAGAAACCTTATGCAATAGTTCTCTAAATAAACTACTACACAGCAGGCTAGTCATCCCTAAAAGTGATGTTGTTTAAAGAGTCAAAGTACATCATCCAAGAAAATCAATATCCTATTAAGTTAGAAAGGGTTCTGAATATCAAAGACCAACGAACTGAATAACTTAAAGTATAAGTACACGACCTAGGGGATTAATCACACACTGTCATGGTGAAATTAGGGCAATTCTTCCAATCATTAACGTTTTGCTTACAAAAATGTGCTTTTCTGTTTGTCTTTCTGCTAAATGATAACCATTTTCAAGTTGAATCTCCTGATAAAAAGAGTTAAAAACAAGACAAGAGTTGTGCTGTAAAGGTCATACATGCTGCTTCAACATGAAATAGCCAGAAGACAAACAAATGAAAAATGCCTGGATTGTAGGAAGAATTTGTAAATATTCCCTGGCAATCTGTACTGGGGCACTTTAGAAATCAGTTAGTGCCAACCTTGGTCCCGAGGCTACTGTACTTCTTCCAGTTAACATGCACTTGATTCTTAAGGACATGTTTAGAATCAGAAGATGAGTGACTTGAGGAGTTAGGAGTAGCTTTAAACTAGAAAACCGTCTGGCTTAAAGGAAATGTCTGCTTCAAAATAAGATTTCATTCCTTAATTGTTATAGTATCAATCAATTCATAAGTCTCTATGTCTCTGCTTAATAAATACGATAGTTGTTCTCAAGAATAAACATTAACCAGAGATTATCTGCAGGAGAGAAACACACAGTCAGAGATTTTTTATTTCATTATTAGGGCCACAGCCTCCCATTCTCCAAAACTGATACAGACCGTCCCATTTTCAAGTAAAACTAATTATGACCTTTAAATCCTTGGTGTATCCTGTCAGGCAGGGTCAGGGAACTCAAACCTCTGATGGGAAGACCCTCTCACTAAATTTCTACATAGGGCTCTAACATTGAAGAGACATCTAAGGAGTATGAGAAACAATAAAGAACTTGAAATGAGTCAGAAACCGGGGACTGAAAGGAGTTGTATAAATCATCTAGATCAACTAGACCATCTTCACTCTATAGATGAGAGAATTGAGGCCAAGAACTAAAATATGAACTCAAATCTTTAAATTTCCAGGTCAATGTACCCAGCACTAATTTTCTCAAAAAAACATAAATTCACAGGACCTCTAAAGGTCTTCTCAGAATCTAAGAAGGCAACGTGACAACTCCTCAAGAACCATGAATTTTTTTACTCCCTCTTCACCTGAATACCATGGTTTAGAGAGCTACAGCCCTGATCAGTCCAGCTTTATGGGCTTCCAAGGCAAGGAGGCATGCAGTTCCACAACTAAAGGCGTCCATGGAGGCCCATGCTAAAAGCAGTGCTCCTCCAATCTGTCCCCACTGGTGTTCCTCATTGTCCCCACCCCATTACTCCCCCCACCCCCCGCCCCCAATGCTGGGGTATCTGAGTGAGACAAGCAAATAGATGCAAGCTGAAACTTGGGCCAGTCAAAAACCTCAGTCCACCTTTCCGCTTAGCCCACAACCCCCAGGACCTCAGCACTCTCATTCCCCCCCTCAGATGGCAATACTCTCTGTACCCAGCACACTCCAGTCAGTCATCAAACTGGTTCTCACCAACCTGAGGGCCCTGCTTCTCTCTTCCTTTTTATATTCAGGTTTTGAGACCAAATCTACAGGCAAGCCAGCAAGAGACAATGAAGGTGGAATGCTTGTCCCACCAGTCTCTTCCACACAGGCAGCACTGTCAGAACAATGGTTCTCAAAGATGGTCCCCCACCAGCACCTCTGACATCACTTTGGAACTTGTTAGAAGTGCAAATTTCCGCTCCCTTCCCTAACCTGTCAAATAAGATTCGCTAGGTATTGGGGCCCCCACCCCCACCCCCCACCCCCGCAGTGACTTTCAACAAACCCTGCAGGTGATTCTGAAGCTCGCTAAAGCGTGAGAATGGCTGCCTTGGCACAAAAGTCCTACCTCCTGCTTCTCCCCGCCAGGGTCCTCTTCCCAGTCAGTCAGTGCACCCTGCCACCCCAGGCTCGGCCGCCAAAGCTTGACGCAGTGTTGACTCAAGCTGGTCAAGGACAGTGGCCGGGCGGGCAGGGCGAGCTGAGGCGAATCGATGGGGCTCTGACCGCCGAGCTCTGCAGCACCGCGGACCTCAGCATCGACTCCTCTCTCCGCCTGCAGGGCTCAGGGCCTTGGCCTGCTCTGCTGTGGTCCGGCGGACTGGGGCCTCCAGACCGCCAGGCACAAACATACACAGCCCCATTCGCAGCGGGGTGAAGCAGAAACCAACTTCCCGGTGCCCCGAGGCCGCCCCCCACCCCCAGCCCCGCCCGCGCTCCCTGGACGCTACAGCAGCAAGAGCCCGGCTAGAAGCTCCAATGTAAGCTTCAGTGCCCACCCGGCCCCAGGGCCCAGCACTGAGCCAGGCACCTGAGGCGCTTTCAGAAAACAGTGTGTTTTACTCAAAGAATAAGAGAGGGGTCCAACGAGGTCAGTTGTCCCACCGACAGATTTATTTTATAGACAAGAAACTTGTTTAAAAAACAACACACACCATTTTGACCATTTTTTTTACAGTGAACAATTATATATACACACATTATAAACACTGTTTGATATAAAACATAATATCTACAATCTACTTACATGTAATTAACCTACTTCTTGTTCACCTGTGATTAATTTTAGTCACCAAGGAGTCAGTTGCTTTGCTTGAATTGGACTGTTACTATCTACCCTTAACACCTGGGTCAGGCAGGTACTTAGTTATAGTGCAAAACAAGCATTTATTATCAACTATAGCTGACAAAAAGAGCACATACATCTCCAAGAGTTCTGAAATGGTTTTGGATTTAAGGCAGCAGTATAAGTAAGTCATAGAAAAGTAAAGAATGTTTTCTTTAATAGCCCAAGGCTGCCTGAATTTTGGTCCCCTTTTCAAGGCACACTTCTGCTTTTTCCTTTAAGGGGGATATCGACAGAGATCATAGAAAAGTCATTCAAGAAAACTCCTTTAAAATCTTTAAAGTTATAACTTAAAATTTAACAAAAGTTCACAATTTTTTATAAATAAAAAATTGTTATAGGGGGTGCATTTCATTAGTGAAGAGTCACTCTATCAGAGAACCTAAATCAGTACATAAACCATTTCTTAAGGCAAAATTAAGGTTTCACTGTGAATTTTTTATTTAGCCAGTGAACCAAATATTTTAGGTTTCAAGAATACCAGAAAAATGATTTCTGTTCTAATATAGTTTTCCAGCTTATCTGTGAAGATTTTTCTGGAGCAAATGTTATTCCGGTTTTCTGAACATGCCAGTGTCTGTGGTTATCATCCAGCATTAAAATAACCTTTATCGCCCTCAATGTCCACTTCCTGATCAGAATCTTCTGAAATCTCGGATTCAAGGTCTTCCTGGGAGGCAGGGGAGGGTGAATGCTGAGAGCTATCCAAAGCACCTTTATTCTGTTCACTGGGCAAGTCTTGCCTCTGGTCACAAGGATTGTTTATACTTTCCAGTTCTTCTTTTTTATTGTTTTGAGGGTTCTCCTGAATAAAGGAAATGAAAATGGAAAATGGTAGGATCATGAAATATGAGAGATGAGAGAACTAAATCAAATGTCTTCAGCCTCTTCCATCTTCTAGAATTTTAGTTTATCAATTGCCTTCAGATATACTTTTATTCAGAAAATAAATATTTTTGCTTCCTTCTCACTTTGAAAAAGACAAAGATAAAAGTTCCTGTCATCTCAGAGAAACATTATTCTCGTGCCAGGTAAGAACAACCAGTCACAAAATATGTTTTATGTGAAATGAACATTAAATCCAGTTCAGACCCATGGTCTCAAGATTCTTAAAAGTATAGGTGGGAAAAGAAATCAGATCACTAAGATACACACTACCCTATATAATTCAAATATTTAAACCTTGCAATTAACACTATCTTCTAGAAATTAACTATGAACGCTAAACTGTAGGTAAGTTAAGAAGGAAGTTCAAAATTAGTAACTGAAATCCTTTTGCATCCATTTTCTGGAGTAAGTTTATAAACACGAGTGAGTGGCAAGTTACAAAATCACAGAAAAGGGAATTAATCAGAACTAGAAGAGAGATAAATACAACCTACTTAAAATCTGGGGGAAATTTTTAGGAAAAAACCTTATTATATAGAAACCACTATTTTTAAAGTCTTTGACAAGGTCTGTAGTCAAGTCTTTGACCAAGAGCTAAATAAAATAGAGAATGTTTAATCCTAGAATGGACATGAACACTATAAAAATACAATATACAGTTAAGTTTTTTTAAAGAGGACCATACAATATATTCACCCGACATGAAAGTGGGCAAGAAAGGTCAGTGATTGAGAAGGAATCTCAATCAATGTTTAAATCACGTTAAAATTATGAATTATAGGAATCTTAATTTCTGTTCAAAGTGGCCTTTATGACACCCTCTTGTTTCAAAGTATGCATGACTAAATTTAAAAGTGTACACTGTCTTCAATTTTCCTGCTCGTATTACTGGTTCAAAAATATTTTCTTTATTATGAATTGTATTTACACTAGCAAATGAATAATTCAGCAGTTTTCAGGTAGCTTTGGAGCATACATTCAGATTAGGAAATCAAAAACAAATCTTTAGCTTTAAGTCAATAGAGCTTTAAAAACTGAATTAGCCTTAACTTTTTATCTCATGTTGCGTAACAAGGTCACTGGAATAATGTTAGAAAGTTTGAGCTGCTTTTCAAAGAGAGTTTTATATTCATTTTAAGAGCTGGCATTGATAGAAAATAATTTTTAAGCTCTTTTGATATTTAATTCTAAAAAACAGTGCAAACAAGAGTTAAAGGTGTTTATTTCCTTTTATTTGCCCTGAGCTCTGCCTGGTTTTATTATGGCTGTGTAAATAAAAGAAACAATTTTCTCCCAAAGATAACTGCTTAAGTAATTTACTGTCAATTACTTTATCTTTCCTGCGTTAATTAGATAAACAACATATGGGGTTTATAAAACAATTAGCCGGGAGTTTTACTAGCCAGTGTGTGAAAACCCAAGCATAATTGATAGAGGAGCTGCATTAGGTGCTTTTAACATTACCGCCACCTGAGCAACTCATCCTGCATTTCGGCAGGACTATTTGCCTTTTTAATCAAGGTGAAGAGGTTAAATAGTCTCTCAAATGACTTTTGCATACAACCCATAACAGGCCTCACATTGAGATAACATGATAAAAATATTTATTTCCATAGAAACAGAACCACGTCCATACCTGTTTTAGTCTTCTCCATTTAGCGCGGCGGTTCTGAAACCAGGTTTTGACCTACAAGAGAGAATGAAAACTTGCCGTGAGCCCGGAATCTGAAGGGCCGGGGGAGGAGGGGCGAAGCGGATCCCCAGCGCGAGGGCAGACCAGCGCTGCAGATGAAGCGCTGAGGGGCGAAACTGTGGGAGAATCCGGGGTCTCCACGTTTCTGTCCTCCCTGCCACCCCAATCCAGGAGGCTTGTCCTAGCCCGCGGGCGCGCTCACCTGCCTCTCGCTAAGCTGCAGCATCTTGGCCAGACGCTTCCTCTCTGGCGGAGAGAGATATTTCTGGGTCTCAAACTTCTTCTCCAGCTCAATGGTCTGGTCGTTGGAGAACCTCACCTGGCCACCTTTCCTTTTATGCAGGGGCCTCTGCAAGAAAGGGCTCCAGAGCAGGGGTTTGCCTGCGGACAAGAGCTACGGTTTGTGACCGCCCAGACAGACCCTAGATCTGCCTGGCCCTGGGGATGACAAAGGCAAGAAGGGAAGCAGGTGGAAACCCAATCAGACCCCTTCACATTCACAACGACCCAAAGCGCTCCCACCAACACACACACCACATCTAAAGTCACACATCTTCAGACTTATGCACAAAGACCACTCGTGTACTCTTAGACACACCAGAACCAGATACTAACACAAATCTTTTGATTCTCAAAAGATTACTCGCTACAAGTTGAACTTAAAATACTACAAGCCTCTATGTCCAGTGGCCGTCGAATTTACACACAACCTTTTGCACCTCTAGGTCTTCACCCTCAGGGAGCCTCACTTTCCAAATACCCAGATGTGTCTATATTGTCAAGCAAACTGTCACGCTACCCCAGGCACTCGCCGCAGGGAGGCCTCCCCCAGCCAGGCTGTGCCGGAGCCCTCGGGCCTGGGCGTCGGCGTTGGGCCGTGTGTGGTTGCTTCCAATCCTGGCTCCAGGGCGCCGCGGCCTCCTCTGATTTCACACCCGGCCTGCGGGGGCGGCCAGTTAAAGCCACCCGTGGGCTATGGCAACATTTCCGTCAATGTGTTTCCTGTTGGTCTATCTCGAAAAAACCCTTTGCTTCCTCCTGCACAGTTCCAGCAGTAACCCAAGGAAACCCAGGGCGCGCTTTGTGAAAACGTTCGTCCTCAGGCCCACCCGGGGTTAAGGGTCCCTCTTCGGCCCCTAGCAAGAGAACAGAATCACGCCAGAAGGGCCACACGAACCCTCCAAGTTTGAGTAAATAAATACTCAACTAAAGTTAGAATAATAGCATTTTTAAAAAGAAAGAAAGCAAAGTAAACCCCTCAAGATTTCTCTTAAGGATGAGAAAGGTGGATTGAGCTAGAGGTGGCACCATAATAAAATATTAAAATATTAATGAAAATGTTTTGCTGTCTTCCTACAGAAGCTGCAAACTCGGAGTAAGTTTAAATCCCTGGAGGCCCAAGGCAAAGAGCCCCGTTTCCTTATTTACCCAGACTTCATATGCCAGAGGCGCAAGGGCCACCCAGACCTTAGATCACAGTAGGGGACTTGGGGCGGCAATAATATCTAAGACAACGCACTGAGCAGACAAGCACCGAAAATTCAGTATGTCCAACGTGTCCGTATTATCTTTTTAACTCCAAAGACCCGCTGATCGGCCCGTCAGTCCGTCAGTCAGTCGGTCAGCGGGCACACAGGCCTTCGTCTAAAGGCTCTGAAACATTGGCATTGTTTTTTTTTTTCTCGAGATTTTGCTTACGTCAGGCTTCAGACTGGTGCAAAACAGCCTCAAAAAAAAAAAAAAATAGGAAGCAACTGGTTATTTTAGCTGCCATAAAGTCACATCCCACACAGAGGAAATGAACAATATCAGAAAAACGGATCCCGGCTATCAGAAGTCGAGTGTTTCCTGAATTTGTCTGTATTGAGGATGTCGATAAAATAATCAGCAGCGTGCACTACTCCGGGGGAAGGGTCTGCTTCATGCAGCCAGGAAAACACTTAACAGCTTCTGAAACCAGATTTACTCCTATCAAGAACTCAAGATTTCCTGTATGAACGGAAAGGGTCAGGCTCTTTCACTGCACAAGCTTGTTGAACCAAGTCCAGCCCCGTAACCACCCGGGCTGGGCAGCCATCCCTGCCCTACGGGGTCCGGTCCCGGCCCGGGGCGCCTTGGTACTCCCTTCCCCGTTCTTTCAGCGACGGCGGCCAAACCTAGAGATACGCTCCCCTCCCCGGGGCTGCTGTCGGCCACCAACCCGGGCCACAGGGCCCGAGGCCGAGCGCCCCGACGCCTGCAAGGTGCAGGAAAACCAATCTGAGTCATGGTGCGGTCAGCCCGGGCTGCGCGCCGCCGGGGCCCGCGCCTCAGTCCCCGCGCGCGCCCGACAGCCGCTTTTCAATCGCTTTTGCCACTACTTTCTATTGCCTCCCCCTCCGCCCCCGCCGCCTCCTGGGCGCTGCCACCTGCCGGGTGGCGCCTTCCTCGCCGCCGCCCCGGCTCGGCCCCGCCATGACCCCGGCCGCCTTACCCAGGGGGTCGTGGCGGAGCAGGGCGTGTGTGTAGTCGTTCACCGTCCGCGGAAAGGGGTACAGAGGGCCCCCGAAGCCGCCGGGTCCGTAGGCTGCGGCCAGCGCGGCGGCGGAGTGGTGCGAGAAGGCGGGGTGGATCGGCGTGGGCTCGTACACCGGGGTCCGGTAGGAGGACACGAGGCTGGTGAAGGAGGAATTGGGGGACGGCAGCGTGGGGGTGGGGGTGGGCGCGGCGGGCCCGCGGCCCAGGATGTCCTCGATGTAGAACGGCGTCGGGTGTGCGGGCTGCAGCAGCGGCGTGGGCGCGTACAGCGGCACCCCTACGGCGCCGGCCGCCGCGGGCCCGGGGTGAGGGTACTGCATGGCTCCGCGGCGCCCGGGCGCGAGGAGACTTGCCGATCCCCGCCGCGGCGCTACATTTATCCGCGCTCCGCGCTCCCGGCGATAGGCTCTGCCGGCCGCGGGGTGGGGCCGCGCTCTTTGGCCCCTTCCTGCTGCCGGGCCCCGCGGCCAATGGCGCGGAGCCCCGGGAGCCGCCTCCCGCCCCCACCCTTGGCCCGCCCCCGCCAGCCTAGCTCCCGGCTCGCGGGACGCGCGATCTCCCAGCCTAGGAAGACCCTGCGCCCAGACACCCTGCGTCACCGTCGCTTGGGGCACCAAGACCCCTTGCCCGGGACGCCCTCGAAGCGTTGGGACACGGAGGGCCGCGTCCGTCGGGGAAGTTGCGAGGAGAGCAGCTGCTTGGAGTGCGACCCTCGCCGCAGTTCCGAGGCATCCCTGCCGATACCCAGGCCCGAGCCCGAGGTGGCGGCCGCCGGCCCCAAGCTAAGGGGCAGCTGACCTCGCTCGGCCGGGCACAGGGGCCACACGCCGGCTGGAGAGCATGCAGCCAGATCGGCGCGCTCCCGGGAGTAACGGTGGCACTGGCTGTTGCCCGGGGCGTCTCCTGAGCACTCTGCAAGACAGTGACCGGGATTCCTGGGGCTGCTCCTAGGAGAGCTGCCCTCAGCTGCGTCCCAGTAGGATATGGACAACTAGACTTGTGGTGCTGTGGACTGTTGGCCGCTCCAACCGGTTTTAATTGGCGCCCCGAACTCAGTCACTTCCCTGGGGACAGTGGCAGAAGCCGCTTGGGCTGGGCTCAAGAGAAGGCCTGGGTCCTACGGCGGCAGCGGCGGGCGGAGCTGTGCAGTCTTTGCCAACCCACTGGGGCTGCAGGTCCCCCATCCCAGGACCCTGGGGGTAGCAGCTGCTCGCGGCACTTCCCCGCCCCACCACCACCACCTCATCCCGTTCTGCATGTGTTTCCTATTGAAGCGGTGGCACTTCAGCTCCACTCGCCTGTGGGGCAAGGGGGCATTTTCTTGATTGACGCCCTCCTGCGGTCGTCACACCTCGCGGTGAGCAGTTTCTGCTAAGGTCCTTCATTAATCGTGAAAATGAAAAGACTTCTCAGTTTTTCCTCTGGAGATTTTTACTTTACATCTTGGAACTATTTCTCTGAAATAGCGAATCGCAGTAGGAAGAAGAGTGGCCTGGGAGCAGGGTGACCTGAGTTCGAGTTTCACTCTGCACATTTTTTGTTGAGCAACTGCTGCACACCAGCAGTGAACGAAACATACAGTTCCTCACTGAAGCAGGAAACAGATTTTAATACGGCGGTTTATATACCTATGTGCTGAGAAGGAGAAGTATTTAGTGATCTGAAACCTTATAGCAAGAGGACATCGCCTAGTTGAGGGTGGAGGAGGAAAAAGTGTTCCCCAAGAAAGTGATGTCAGAAAAGTGAGGCGGATCCTAGAGAGGAGCGAACATTCCAAGCCCAGAGTATGACAGGGGAGTGTTGATAGTCAGGACAACTTGAGTCAAGTCACCTCCCCTGAGATTTGCTTCTCTGAAATGTTTTGGGACTTAGTCTAAAGGTTCCTGATTTGGGCTTGGGCTGGGCGCATCTGCATCTTTTACAATCTGATGACAGACAAGAGCTACAAGCAAAGACAAATGCAGCTAGTATGATGGGCTACTATCATTTGAGTTAAAACATTAGGAGAGAGTTAAGAATATTGGTACCTCTGCTCAATTATATAAACCATCTCTTAAAACACACACACACACACACAATCCAAATAACATCAGCTGTCTATGAAGAGAAAGGCCAGAGATGGACAGAGAATGGACTGTATATACTATGAACATTTGGAAAGCTGAGCCATGTGACTGCATGGTGGCTGAAGAATTGGCTGATTCTAGATTTTGAGCAAGAAAAGTACAAGGTGAGCTCAAGGCATCTTGTGCCAGGAACCATGGGGAGAAAACAGAGACCGTCTTGAAGGATCTTTGGCCAAGTTTGAGATGATTTAAGCATCAAAAATGCATTATAATATATTGAATGTAAGTTTATAGTTTCATTAGCCTTAGTGACATTCAAAGAAGAAAGGAATTTAGATTATAAAGCAGTTAACTAATGAAGAAAGCTTTATAACATCAGAAAAAAGATTAATGATATCAACAAATTATGTTTTATAATTATTATGCCTAAGAATGACAATTATTAGACACTAAAATCTCTCAGTGAAACATTGCTGAGGAATGAGAATTTTTGCTAGATTTTATTGGTTGGATTCTGTATTTTTTTTTAAAAAAAGTTATAAAGTACATTTGGGGGTATCCTAGGGTAAAGCTAAATATGAATTGTATGTTAGATGTCATTATTAACACTGTTATTTAAGGTGTTTTGGAATTGTGGATAAGGTGTCCTTATTTTGGGAAGATGCAAACTAAAGTATTTTGGGGTAAAGTGTCATTATGTCTGCAACTTTCAAATAGTTCAATATGCACACTATATATATGTATATATACACACACATAGGCATATAAGTATGTGTATACACATATGTATACACTAAAAAAGAAATACACCAAATTAGAAAATTATTCCTTGGTGAATTTAAGTAAAAAATACACAAATGTTCACTATACTGGTTTCAGCTTGAAAACTGACTTGAAATTGTCCAATACAAAAACTTTTAGGTATGATTTTGTGTTAGAATCATACAGGGGCCAGGGTACAGGCCATAGGTGTGGGGGCTTAGAGGATTCACTAGAGACTTGGAGGAGCAGAACAGGCAGACTGACTGAAATACACTGCTGAGGGGAGCAGCAGGCGGGTCAGGAGAGGTCTGCCATGCCATGTGGGTCACCTCCCTGGCTGGGGATCAAACTCATGAGGCAGTGACTGCAGATAGCTTCATAATGCTAGGCTTTAGCCCCTTGTACCCTAGAGAGAGCCAGCACTGTCTCTTTTTTAAGGTAAAAGTTATTTGAATTATATGTGAAGTCTGCAAAACTTGGGATAGTGTGTCGTCCTTGGACACCATCTGTGCTATCTCTGTTTTCACTGTGGTGTCACCTGATATTGTGCTGTTCATCCAGTCATAGTTTTCATCACCTGACCTGATGGACAATTCCAGCAGGTGCTTGGAGACTGTGGACCTAAGTGTGCATTTCTGTGTACCAAGGACAGAGGCAGGATTTAGGGATGAAGAAAAGACAATTACTGTCAATGACATGAAGCCAAAAGGTGCCTCCGAAAGTTGTTTGGGTCTCCAAAGATTGGGACATCTGTGAACTAAGCAGGTCCCTGTGATTATTATTTTTTCAAAATTGTATTGCCCTCATTCTTATTTTTCTCTTTTTCCTGCCACTTACCCAGCTAGTAACTAAGATAACTATTATATGCGATGCCTTTACAGTAAATCACTATGCCAGTCTTCATTCTCCCTCTTCAAATATATTTATTATGCACATAACTCAGTCACCAGCCAAAAACTCTAAATCTACAAACCTTACAAAAACAAATATTAAAGTGCTAATGAACTAGTCACGAATATAGGAAAGAGAAGCATTATCTCTTTCTTTGAGCAGCAGAGCCTGTGAGTGGATGGAGATTAAAAGGTATTGGTATAACATTCCAACTCCACGACATAATCCTTACCAGTAAATTGAAGCACTTAATTCTGTTAAACTATATAACACTACCTCTTACACTACCTCTTCTAAATCCAATCGTCAGATCCATGTTCATTTTGCTATAGTTAAAAAAAATTACAACCACATTTGTGAATGTCACATTTATTGAACTACATAATTTTTAATATCACTTGTGTAGGTTTTATAGTTTGTTTTATTGTTTTAAAAGTCATTTGGGGCTCTAAAAGAACTAGATTTTTCCAAAGTTGTCCTTAAAATTTTTTTTCACACAGTCAGAACTAATAAAACAAAACTGTTGTAGCTATTTAATTCAAAATCTCTTGGAGTTTCAATATTTTTTCTCTGCTGGATACTAAAACCAATAAAGCTACATGAGATTTTAATTATATTCTGAATTAAACAAGACTCTCCGCAAAAAATTTGGCACCATTAATTTTAGTCACTGCTATTGTGCAAGAGACCAAACTTTGTAAGAAGAGAAAGTGGTTCTCAACTCTAACCTATCTAGTAGGAAATTAGGTAAAAAATTTTGCAACTTATTTTCTATAATTAAGAGGTGAAACTTCAAATTGGCTATTGCTTGAAAGCATTGATGGAGTTTATTATAACAACTTGGTTCTATTTTTACTAATATTAAAGGTTTTATTACCATCAACTGTTGGAATGATTCATCATGTAGTAAGTCACATATCAAATCATAATATACTTTATTTCAGATTTGACAAAATCTAACTAGTCAGTGTTTTGTTAATTTACAAGAAGCTAAAGTGGTCAGATGAAATGTCTCCTCCATGTCATGAATGGAGCAGAGCTCAGAGCATGTGGGCAATACTCATCACCATGTCACTGCAGCGATGTTCTCTTTCCCATCTTACCTACTACACTGTGCATTATGTAGCATATCATATAGGTGAGTTTTGTGAACCATGGAGCATTAGGTGCAGCTTGTGATATTTATTTGTTAAATTAGAAAGGTGCTGCAAATGCCAATAAAAGTCCCAATTTTGGGGGGAGAACCCAATTTTTCCACAAGAAAAAGATCTGAACTAAATAGACATTTCTCCAAAGAAGACACATCAAAAGATGTTCGACATCATTAGTCACCAGGGAAATGCAAATCAAAACCACAATAAGACACCACTTCACACCCACTAGGATAGCTATAAAATTTTTCTTTAAATACAGAAAATAACAAATATTGGTTAAGAATGTGATGACTTGGGGCCCTCATTCATTGCTGGTGGCTGTGCAAAATAAAGCAGCTGCTTTGGGAAACCATTCTGGTAGCACCTAAAAAGGTCGAACACAGTTATTATATGACCAGTCATTTCACACTTAGATATCTACCCAAGAAATGAAAACACATGTCCACACACAAAAAACTTGTACATAGTGTTCA